AACAGAAATACAATGTAAGCCATGCATGTCATTTAAAATTTTCTTCTTGTTGTTACGTGCCGTTGAGTCAGCCCCAACTCATAGCAAACCCTCCTTGGGTTTCCAAGGCAGTATCGCTATGGAAGTAGATTGTCCCATCTTCCTTCCAAGGGTCTGAACCACCAGTCTTCTGGTTAGCAGTCAAGTGCCTTAGGTACTATGCTAACAGAGCTCCCTAAAAATTTCTAGAGGCCAATTTTTAAAATAAAAATGAAACAATAAAACTAGCACTAATAATATGTATTAACTAGCATTAATAATATGTATTATCTTCTCAGGGAGCTCTGGTAGCATAGTGCCTAAGGCACTTGACTGCTAACCAGAAGGCTGGCAGTTCAAACCCACCAGCCACTCCTCAGAAGGAAGGTGGGGTAATCTACTTCTGTAGTGATACGGCCTCAGAAACCCAAAGAGGGGTCGCTATCAGTCAGATCCGACTCGATAGCAGTGAGTATAATAATAACTGGAGACCTCAATACACCACTTTCAATATTGGTCAGAACATCTAGAAAGAAGATCAACAAGGAAACAGAGGACCTGAATGACACTATAAACCAATTAGACCTGGCAGACATATATAACACAATAATACATTCTACTCCACTACACATTGATCATTCTCCAGGAAAGACCACATTTTAGGTCACAAAGCAAGTCTTGATAAACTTTAAAAGACTAAAACCATATAAAGTATTTTCTCTTACCACAAGGGAGTGAAACTAGAAATCAATTACAGAAGAAAGAAAACCCTGGAAAATAAACATAGGGAAATTAAACAACACACCGTTAAATTACCAATGGGTCAAGAAATAAAAGAGAAATCACAAATTTCTAAGAGTCACATGCAAATGAAAGCAGCACATACCAAAACTTATGAGAGGTAGTAAAGGAAGTACACAGAGAGAAACTTACAGCAATAAATGCCTACATAAAAAAAAAAAAAAGAGAGAGATCTAAAATTAACAACCTAACTTGAAAATTCCAGGAACTAGAAAGAGAAAATCAAAGTAAGCCTAAACCAACCATAAAAAAAGGAAATAACAAAGATCAGAGCAGAAATAAGTAAAAATCAAAAACAGAAAAACAACAGAATAAAACCCAGAAGCTGTTTCTTTGAAAAGATCAATAAAATTGATAAGCTCTAACTGACTGATGAAGAAGAGGAAAAAATACAAATAACCAAAATGAAAGAGGGGATATTACAACTGACCTGACAGAAGTAAATAGAATTATGACAATATCATAAACAATTTTACAACAAACTGGATAACCTAGATGAAATGGCAAATTCTTTGAAGCACACAAGCTACCCAAACTGACTCAAAAGGAAATAGAAAGTCTTCACAGACCCATAACAAGTGAAGAGATTGAATCAGTGATGAAAAACTTCCAAACAAAAAAAGTCTTCGATCAGGTGGCAACACTAGGGAATTCTACCAAACATTTAGAGAAGAATTGACACAATACTGTTTAAACTTTTCCAAATGATAAAGAAGGAAAGAATACTCCTTAATTCATTCTATGAAGTAAACATAACCCTGATACCCAAACCAGAAAAAGACACCACAAGAAAAGAAAACTAAAGGAGAATATCTCTTATCAATATAGATGCAAAAATCCTCAACAACATACTAGTGAACAGAACACAATAGCATATTAAAAGAGTCATATACCATGGCCAAGTGGGATTTATTCCAGGAATGCAGGGATGGTTCAACATTAGAAAATCAAACAATGTAATACACTACAGCAATAGAACAAAGGAGAACCACATGATCATCTCCATGGATGCAGAAAAAGTATTTTGATAAAATTCAACACTCTCTCTTGATGAAAATCCTAAAGAAAATTGGAATAGATGGGAAATTCCTCAATATGATTCAGGGTATATATGAATAGCCAACAGCCAGCATGATACTTAATGGAGAGAGCTTTCCCCCTGAAATCAGGACTAAAACAAGGGTGTCTGCTCTTACCACTTCTATTCAATATTGTATTAGAAGTCCTAGCCAGATGAATAAGACAAGAAAAATAAATAAAATGTATCCACATTGGAAAAGAAGTAAAATTATTTCTATTCATGGATGATATGATCCTATATATAAAATATCCCAAAGAGCCCACAAGAAAACTTCTAGAGCTAATAGAGGAAATTAGCGAAGTTGCAGGGTACAACGTCAAGAAACAAAAATCAGCTGGGTTTCTATACACCAGTACTATGGATTGAGTTGCACCCCCCCCCCCAATATGGGTCAATTTGGATTCTCAGTATTATGTAATTTTCCTCCTTTTGTGATCTGATTATCCTATGTGTTGTAAATCCTAACCTCTACAATGTTAATGAGGCAGGATGAGTGACAGTTATGTTAATGAGAGTAGAATGCACTCTATAGCGCCACCAGAGCTTCTTAGGTTATATCTCTTGAGATATAAAAGATTAAACAAGCTAGCAGAGATC